TAGAGGAGGAAAAAAAACGGGGAAAAAGAAGAGTGGGAGGCCAAAAGAGCCCGAATGAGAATGGCCCACTCCGGCAGAAGTTAATGACAGGGGATCAGAAAAGCAAGATTTCCATTCAACACTTTGAATTATTCAGGGTTGCAGGGCACCTATTTGCATTGCAGATGCCTTTGCTTTCCATTCCTCCACAGCTCTCTCTCCCTCTCTTCTTTCTTTTTCCTCTGTGTCTCGAGCAGGAGAATGGCCCTGCCTCAGGGTTAGGAGATAGACACGTTCTCAGCTCAGCGGAGAGAGAAAGCTTCGCCCATGCAAAGCAGGAGATTATCTGCCATTTTCAACACGGCCCAGGTTCAACAGTCACCATGGCACGGAAACAAATAAAACAAAGGTCAGAAAACATGTATTGTAAGCCGTTGAAGCTATCTGCCAGGGCCTTGGAAATATTATGAGCGTGTCATATTCCAACGGAGCTTTCACAAGGTCCATTTGAATTCAAGGCTTGTGCACGATGAAGGAAAAGGAGGATGGGGAAAAAAGGCTGCTAACTTCAGAAAACAAGGCAGCGCCACATTTGCAAGCGCAGCTGCTTTCGAGAAAGTGGTGGTTTGACGTCTCTGTCAGATGGAACGCCGAGCGCGAGGATGAAATGACATCCTGCGGCACGTGCAAGAGCACGACTTATAAGGAGATGATGCTCTGCAAGAGTTGTGGGTGAGGAGAAAGAGGAGGAGGAAGGAGATGACAGACTGACAGCATGACTCATCACAAGCAGCTTTCACCTAATAACACCCAAAGTCTAGATCACAGGGAAGGGAGGGGGGGCCAGAACGCAAAATGGACATAAAGAGCTCGTCAGACAGCGGAGGGTGGAGACAGATAGAGTGCTTTGACAACAAGGTCTTAAAAGAGGCGTATGAGCTAAAAAAAATATGAAAAGATGACAAAATCGAGCAATAAGAGAAAAGAAATCAACATCAGACGGCAATCTCAACACACGTCTCTTTGAATGTCTTAAATCTGGGCGTACATGAGCTCTTTAGAGTTTGTGGTGATATTTTTGAGTTGGTAATATAAAAAGCATCACCACAGGGTGCTCTCTGACAGCAGATTCTTTAAGAACAGGAACCCAGTTTATTCATCGCTTTTATGAAGTTCAAATTTGAAGATAGAAGATGAGAAGAGACGCTGAGGCAGCAACAGTTACAGGACTGAACAGATTACCAGTTTGTGTGTGCTGATAATAATGAACCCGTTACAAGTACGGGGCCCCCCGGGGCCGACAGGGGGTCACAGTCAGCATATTCCCAGCTCGCGCGTCGCTCTCTGCCGTTTTTTGCAGAATAGTAGAGGGGGAAAGGGGAGGTGCAAAGATGATCTCCTTAAAGCCACCCAGTTTCTGTATCTTTCATCAGGAGGGAGCACAGAGAGGGCTGAACTGTTTCAATCAAGATGGTGATAAGAAGAGAAAAGCTGCCAGCTCTGCAGCTCTCCAGGATCAGGCTTAGTGGAGCCCATGGGGTTGGATGAGGACAGGGAGAAGAAGTCCCACACCGAGACATTTGTCAGTTTGTGTGGAAGTTGGTGCAGAGGCTCCATCAGCAGTGCTCGCTTTGAGGTAAAGTAGGGCAGCGCTTTGGGGAATGTGTGTCTAAGCAGGAGGTCAGACGTCTTCTCCTGAGATCAATAATGTTCCTGGGGCCTAAAGGGAGATCAACTGAAGCTATTTACACAGATTAACTCCCACAAGCCAGAATTACGCTTTCATGCATGAAAGCACTTTTTTGAGGAAAAAAAAATCAACTGAACAAAAACTAGAACGTTAAATCTCCCACACATGTATGTGATGGTGTCTATACCCTTCATTTATTTGCATGTTTTCCAAGCAGACAGACATTTCAATTAAAATTTTCAATAAATAATACTTTATTGATCCCAAAGGGAAATTAACTGTTGTTGTAGCTCATCATCCTGGTTTCATTAAGAGTTCTTCTAGATGCTGATGGCTTTGGGCAGGAAGGATCTGCAGCAGTCCATTCCACAGCAGATCTGAAGAAAATGGCTGCAGATGCTGATCCGTCCACCCAGACCCAGCAGAACTCTCAGTCCTCTTGGGTAGCAGGACTGTCTGACTGCCAGGCAGAACTCCTCCCCGAGCGATGCCATTTCTCCCAGCAGCCTGCCGAGTGCCTCATCGCTGCGGATTTAACTGCAGGTGCCGGGGAGCAATCTCGATCCTCCTGCTGTCAAGAGCTGCGTTGCCTGCTACCTCCAACATCTCTGGGGTCAGGCACGCAAACACTGCCTCCAGGTAGATGGGAATGCATCCATGGCACCTCCTTTTCAACTCATTTGGGATTTGGGGCTGTAGTTAAGGTATTATTTGAGATTTTGAGATGTTAATCAGCAGCTCCCAGCTGTAGAAAACCACCTTGTTGTCATGGTTATGCATCGTAACAAAATGTCCAAAAGTAAAAAAGTTTTCAGTAAAAATCCTTCTAGCGGCACAGCATCTGATACCAGAGGAAACAATCATCCGAAAAAAGTGATTAACATCCAGAAAAAATAAGTAATTAAAGTTTTCAAAAGAAAAATCGCAGAATGAATGTAAGAGAGCTGCTCCAACATGCAGCCACCTTGAGCGGCGCAATTCTGGAATGCCATTTTTGTAGTTTTTAAATAGTGGCCTTGATCCAGGTAGTTTTCCAAGTTTTTTAAGTTCTTTTCAGGGTTGTTCTTTAGAATTTTGCTGTTTTCAACTTATTAGTCTGGTGCCTGATCATTTTTTGAGGAATTGGATTTTTTTTGTTTGTCAAGCCACTACTGATCTGAGTCAAACGTGTACAAACTGGCTTCTTAACTCAAAGGCTGAACGAGTGTTGTACTGAAACATGACATTTTTAAGACCAAAAGGTGGTATCTGGTGGCTTCTCTCTGATGTCCTTCTGTCCAAAACCAGTTCCTCTCAGGGCTGTGTTCTTTCCCCAGTTTTATTCATTTTATATACAAACGATTGTTGCAGCCAGCTCCCACAGCGTCACATTTTAAAGTTTGTTGATGACTCTGTCATTCTGTCCCTTCTCAGCAGTGATGATCCAGACCCTGGACCTGTGGCCGGGGACTTCACTGAATGGTGTGAGTCTTCCTTTTTAAAGTTAAATGTTTCTAAGACAAAGGAGATGATCATTGATTTTAGAAAAGACTCTTCAGTTGCTGCTCCTGTGGTCATTAATGGTGAAGCTGGTGAGGTGGTGCATCAATATAAATATCTGGCAACTGTCCTCGATGACAAACTGACATTTGACCCCATGTGAACTCACTTTGTAAGAAGGCCCACCACAGAATGTATTTTTATCAGAAACACTGTGGTTTTAATGTTGACTCAACTTTCATGAGAATGTTTTACTCGTGTTTTATCGAGTATTTCAACTTTCACCTTTATCTGTTGGTTTGGATTGTTAACATGTAAAAACAGGAACAGACTAAGGGATTGTCAGGATGTGCAGTAAAACTGCTACACAACCTCACTGACCTACAGAACCTCACTGACCTACACAACCTCACTGACCTACACAACCTCACTGA